TGACTGAATTTGCAGAATCTGATTTGATAAACATACAATTTTTGCCATCAATGACCTTGTTTATTTTCCCCAGAGCAGTGTTTTAGTGTTTCCCATAGGTTTTAAAACCTAATTTCTGGGACCCCAGAAGTACAGGAACAAGGAGCAGTAGGATAAAATTTTCCCCCCATTATCAAAAAAGTAGTCTTTTTAGATCTGGCCCAGTGTGGCTCAGTTGGTTGGAGCATTGTCCCGTACACCAAAAGGTTTCAGGTTCACTTCCAGGTCAGGCCACATACATAGGTTGCAGGTTCGATCCCCAGTTGGGGCATGTTCCAAAGGCAACCAATCAATGTTTCTCTCTTTCTCTACCACCCCTCCCCAACCCGTCCTCAGTCTCAAAAAAAATCGCATGAAGTGAGGATTTTAAAAATGTCATTTTAGTAAGCCTTTAGCTCATGAATAAGAAGGCTTAATCAGGGATAGTGATGACTCTTTTTATTAATATAGTTTCTCAGTGTTAATCATACTCTCTTTAAGATGCATGTACTCAGTATTTTCACTGTTGAATGTATTTTATTCAGTGAAGGATAAATAGCAAGGGTCATAACATTTTCTTACTTTACCTGGGATGTCAGACATGGTACTGTTCTCAGTTTCACTTTTAAATAAAGTTCATAAATGGCATATTTAAAATGTTGAACCACAGCATGAATGAGAAATTGGTTAATCAACCTTTCTTTTTTCCAGGGGGGTGTTCTTTTTGAATATGGGGGTTTGAAAGCAGAGAGAAATGGCAAAAAAGAAAAATGCACTGTAGCTCAGTTGGTTGGAGTGTTGTCCCCATAAACCAAGAGATTGGTCACTGGTTCAGATCTTGGTCAGGGCACGTGCCCAGTTTGTTGGTTCAAGCCCCTCTACCCCTGTTGGGGCACTGTCAGAGAAAACCCATCGGTGTTTCTTGCATCAGTGTTTTTCTCCCTCTCTCTTCTCCCCCTTCCCCTCTCTGAAATCAATAAGCATGTCCTTGGGTGAGGATTTTTTTAAAGAGTGTACTGGAAGGCACAAGATTGTGGGTGTTGAGATTATACTGAAAAGTGATTGCAACCCCAAGTAAAAATTCCTTTGCCAGCACTTGATCTTCTTTCCCCCACTTTTCGCTCCAAAAAACATGAGGAGTTTTCCTCTTCCTCTTCCTCCTTTCCCTCCCCTTCAGTGGTCCTAAGCAGGGACACGCAGCACAAATAAAAGGGAGGTATTCTTAATTTCCCAGACCTACCATAAGGCAGAGATGGTTCATTCTTTATCAGATGCCACCAAGAAAAGAGAGTGTTACATCACAATTCTAATAAAAACCTCTATCAGTCTTCTGAAGTGGGGAGGGGCACAAATGAAAGTACTTTTGAATTTTCCCAGTAGGGACAAGGGTTTTGTCCCTTAATTAGAGGTAGTCTGGGAAATGCTAGCACTTGTGAATGTCCCAGGAGAGTCTGAACACCTTAGTTCTGTGCTCACTGTGATAACAGTAGTCCCTGCTTAGGCAGTAGCTGGCAGTAGGAAGGCTGGTGGAAAGCTCACAGAGAAGCCCTGCCAAGGAGATCTTTTTTTCCTTTCTCTGTGATGTCTGCAGCTCACTTGGCCTGAGCTCCAGGTTACTACTTGATTCTGTTCAGAAGTCAGGACTTGAATTCTGAGGCCCTTTCAGAAGTTAGTACCAGTGTTGATTTCAGGGTCTAATTGTGCTTTTGGAAATATCAGCAGTAAAATTATATTGGAATTTATGTTTAAGAAAAGCCAGATGGCTATCAAAATAGGTGGGTGGTTTGAAGTTTTTAAATAAAAGGCCTGTGCTTAGCTGCCATGCCTCTGGAGGAGTGCTTTATACTGTGTATCCCTGCTTTCTGGAATGGGTTGTGAAAGCAAATTGCTTCCTTGTTTCATCACAACCCTTATGACCATGCCGCATTCCCTGTTGTCCTTGTCCTAACAGAATCTGATTCTCGACTTTAGTGAAACTGGGCAAGGAGCTTGAAGACTTCATTAGTATAGGTAGATCCCTGACCTCTTCAAAGAAAGGGCCACAAATTAGCTGTACTATTAGCAGCACAGATGATGCCATTGACAGCTCAAGAGTGTTCTAAATTTGCCGTGACTGATGTTGGTTCAGTGGATTGGGTGTTGTTCTGGGGACCAGAGGGTGGCTGGTTTGATTCCTGGTCAGGGCATGTGCCTGGATTGTGGGCCAGGTCCCTGCTTGGGGGCATGTGAGAGGCAACTGATAGATGTTTCTCTCCTTTTTCTTCCCTCCCTTACCCTCTCTCTAAAAATAAGTAAATAAAAGTTTTTTTAAGTGTGTTCTGAACTTGCAGGGTGGTTTTTGGTTATAGATACAATCATGGGAGGCTCCAAGTCTGGTATCTTTCTTAGTCATTCACTCCCTCCTGCCCAAACTAAAAATTGACTTTCAGAAATCTTTACAGTATTCACCTTTTATTTTTTGCTTCATTGTTCACTGCCAGTAAATCTTTTCATGCCTATTTGCTGCTGTTTAGCTGGTTTAATTTTTTTTCTGTTCTATTGAAGTCCATAGTTTTGGCTTGAGGGGCAGTATGTTAGGGTCAGTTCTTTGGATCCACACCCCCTAATTTTCTCTTCTTGGTGACACACATCAAAATTTAATAGGTATATTAGAGAGTATGGTGATCATTTGTACACTGGTTCCTTCCAAAAAGTATAGGGAGAGGGTGTTATCTGCAGACAGCTGAGTAAATGTGTTCTTTGTACTTCATCATCAGAGCATCTCAGTTATCCAGACGAAGTATAAGACCTGGAGGTCGGAGTATGCTGAGCCCCCTCGAGGAGCTGCAAGGAGATCACTGTGGGTAGAAGTAGAGTAAGCAAGAGAGTCAGGATGGTTAGAGGATGAGGCAAGAGAGACAATAGTAACAATATGGGGACACCTTGCTGGCCACATTAGGGGAGAGAGAGGGAGAGGGGGAGAGGAGGGAGAGAGAGAGAGAGTTTAAATTTACTTGAGAGAGAGAGAAATACCGATTTGTTGTTCCAGTTAGTTATGCATTCATTGGTTGATTATTGTATGTGTCCTGACCAGAGATTGAACCCGCAACCTTGGCATATTGGGACAATGCTTTAACCAACTGAGCTACCTGGCCAGGGCTGTATTTTAATCTAAGTCACATGGGAAGTCATTGGAGATTTTTGAGCTGATAAGATTTCCAATTAAAAAAAATTAATTACTTTGGCTGTTATGTGGAGAATAGATTAGGTTATGGGGGAAAGAGGGGAACAGAGAGATCATTTAGAACTCTATTGTAATAGTCCAGGCTAGAGATGATGAGATGACAAATGAAATTATTACCTATCGCTAAGAAAGGAATGGGAGACCTAATTAAGAAAACATCACTAAAGCCCCTCATACAGCCTGTTTCTTAATATTAGGCTACAGTATTTGTTAATGCCCTTCCTTTCCTTGGAGTTTGCCCTCAGCTGTATTAGGACCATAGAAGAGAGATTATTACATAGAGATCGGTATTCACAAGGGATGGGATTCTAACTAGTGCCTCAGTCATTTGACCCAGACAGAAGACTTTTTATTCTTGAGGTACTGCAGTTGGCACACTGTGTTCATTCTGTTGTCCCACCCACCAAAGACCTAAAAAGACTGATTCGGTGCCAGGACTCAGGCTGCTCTATTCTCATTGAGGCATTCAGTCTTCAGTTCTTTCTGCAGTTGCTATCAGTTTGAGCAGCCTCTTTTACAAAGTATCTTTTCAGCTACCTGGACTTGCAAGCTGGAGCTCTCTGATACTCATCATGACAAGTAGTTTCACATACCTGAGATGGCCCTCTAAGAGAAAGAGGTTTTGTGATCTTTAACATGTGAACATTCCGCGCACTCTTTTGTTGTGATGTAGAGCCTTACTGTGCTACCTTGATTTCTGGGTTTTGCAGTATGAGAGAGGAATTCCATGTGTTTTAGTACATTATAGTTCTTTGGGAAAAGCTTAGTGTTTGGTATACAGGGAGCTTGCTTGGCATTGTTGACAAGGTTTCCTTTCCTACAAAAAGCTTCCTCAATACATCTTGTTGGTAGACAGCACTGATGAAACCATGCCATCTCGACATAATGTCAGGATCACCTGCCCAAAGAGGACTTCTGGCAGCCTACTACTTCTTTGATTTCCTTTGGGTGCAAAACAATTTCAGGATGGGGGTGGGATCCAGAAGGTCTGATTGTGTGACCGGGAAAAGGAAAGGTGAATCCCCGGAAACCTATAAACAGAATTCGCTTTAACAGTAGTTAATTTTGTCTCTTAGGATGCTTTGTCCTTCTTCCTTTTAAAAGTGAGCTCAGGGTGTCACAAGTGAAACTTTGGGTGCCTTTGCAGCTCATATACTACACTGCCTCTGGAAATGCCTGACTTCCTGGCCCCCAACCAGCCCTGTAAATAGACTAAGCCAGGCTCTATGAGGGCCAGCTCCCTTCAGGAACACTGTTCTATTTTCAGGGAGAAATCATTTTTCCCTTCACATCAGTTGGAATGTGCCCTAGCTTTTCTGCTCTTTCGTTGGCGTGGGCACAGATGAGAGCCAGCGTGCCATTCATCTCGCAGCCCCGTGGCCATGAGCCTTTCCAAAAGCCCACGATAGGGAAGGGCAAAGAGCTTGTGAGCAGAAAAGATCTTACAAGATGCACCTGTATTTTTCATTTAATTGTGTGGATAGGTATTTTTTAGTTTTTATTTTCCCTGCCCACTCATCTGTGCCAACTGAAATATCATTTTACCCTTAGTAATAGTTGGGAGCAAATTGTTACTGCAGATAAAAAAAACAAATATATTTTCAGCCAACATGCTGTTAATTAAATTGCTTATCTATCTAAACTTGGGCCTGTGCTGCTCATATCAGATGTCCCTGGTTTCTTCCTTGAGTGAGTTGCCTTGTGTTCCATGACCGTGTTGTTTTTTTGTTTTTGTTTTTGTTTTTGTTTTTCATTACAGTGTGAGTGACTGCCTCATGTTGTGTTGATGCTGGTCTGCCATGCTAGCCTGTCTGCCAGGGCCAGGTGACCTGTCCTTTCAGCTTCTTTCTCACACGCAGATGAACACTGGACTTCAGAAATGTAAGTAATATGGGTCCCAGGGAAGGATGTGATCCTTTATTTTGTCCCTACATTTGGGCTGTTTCAGAGGAGTACATTGACCATGGACTTTAGGACCTTCAAGATATTCTTTAGTACGGACAGAAGAAAGCAGTTGCAAAAACTTGTCAGCAATGTAAGACATTTCTCTGATCAACGAGATCCTTTAAAGTACTAGAATTTTCCAGAGCATAGCATCTTAATTTTAATTGTTGCTGATAGCTGTTTGTTGAGCAACAAAGCTATAAGGAGTTTTACAGGAAATACATATGTATATGTATTTATCACCATATACAAACTTCAAACAAGTTTCTCAGTTTGAATCCCCATGAATAATTAAATGGAAACGCACAGTCCAAATTCCTTACTGTATATCTCTGAAACAAACTATTTACACTGTTCTGTTATTTTGAACACTCTGAGCACTCTACCATGGAAACAGACAATTCTCTTTGGCTTTGCTGTCTGCCTTCTGAGCTAGTGACCTCAATGCACAGCAAGTGAAGAAGCTTTTGCCTTCAGAGGGATAATGAGGCTAGTTTTCTCAGTCTTTCTCGCCATAGCCTGCTAATATACTTCCCACAAGGTTGAGCTTTTGAGAACTGTCTGTTGGATTCCCGTCTTAAACTGGCTGCAATTGGGGCTTTATGCTTCATACTTTCCCAGATTCCTACCTTCTACCTTTGCACTGCATGATGTGAAAGGAAAAGATTCTATTCCTGGTTCGTTGCCATGTACAGTATCTTCAAGTGTTAAAATGGCCCTAAATTTGGAATAAACTTTCAGGGCAAAAAGGGGAAATCATGTAGGCTTACCCTTAATAGAAAAGGTGCTTCAGCCTCTTACCTGAATCCTTATGACAGGGTTTGGCAGGGTTTTAGGCTTTGTGGGCCACGGTTTCTGTTGCATCTACTCAGATCTACTCTTGTAGGGCAAAGGCAGCCATAGATAATTTGTAAACAGTGTGTGTGACCATGTTCCAATTAAACTTATTATAAAAACAGCAGCTAGATTTTGGCCCACAGGCTGCAGTTTACCAGACCCCTGCTCTGTTAGATCATCTCCAGAAGTTAAAAATGATATAGCACCTGTATTAAATGATATAAAAATGATAAAAATGATCTTTCTTTTTTTGAGGAAAAGTAAGACTCAGAGCCTGGCTAGTTCTGGGATTTGGGCAGTGAATCCAACTTGCATAATGACAAAGAGGAAGGTGACAGTCTTCCTTCTGCAGCTTCCTGACACCAGGCAAACAAACCCTGCTGTACCAGCTTTCCCCTAGCCTTTCCCTTAATGAGCGATGACTAGGTGACTAAGTTGTATGTGCTTCCTGGCAACCCAGGTCTGCATGCTGACTACACCATGACTGTTTCTGGGCTTCCAGGGACACAACTGGAAAGGGGTGTATTTGGAAATACACAATATGATGAAAAGAGCAACTCTCTGTCTGCTAGATTCCTTAACTCACTCTGACAGCTTCACCCAGAGATGTGATGTCAAGGGATGAGCCATTTGGGAGGAAAGGCAAATTGGCAGCTCTACCTTGGGTGCTGACACTGGATCCCCACTTTCTTTTCCCTGAAAGCAGCTCTTAAGTAGCCTCTGCCAACCACTGGCCCCAGTCTATATGTAAGAATTGAGATATCCTTCTTTCTTGGTTTCAGACTCACCTGTACATTTGGGGAATGGAGTCTTTGAATCTCTCTCCCATGTGCTATCTTAACTAAATTCACACCTTTGCAGAGGAGAAATCCTATTGGTATTTTTAAGCTTGCTTGCTTCTCTCCTCTCCCAAAATGTATAAGAAAAAGGAAAAATTTTATCGTGTGACTTAACAGCTGTTAGTGTTAAACATTTACAGTTAAGGTGAGATGGAGCATAAGCTCTATCTCCTTTGGGAACCAGCAACTAAAGAGCTGCTTAGAACCCAAGGCCTTGTATTTCTAAAGACCTTAAAACCAGTTTTGTGACTTTGCAATTCAGCCTTTCCCAGCCCCCACATCCAATCTCAGAAGGGTCTTCTGAGTCCCTTAGAAACAGCTTGGTATCTGGTAGGGTTGGGATGGGATAGAGATGTTTATAGTTTACTGTGCTTTATATTGAAAGAGTCACCTTTAAGGCACAGGAAATGGATCCAGGGTCAGGAGAATGGGATATGTGACTTCCTGGCCCACCACTGTAAGTCACCTGGCTAATCACGGCCTCATAGGCTTGAGCTGCCATGTGTGCCAACTCACAGGATTGACTCCTTCTAACGTCACGTTTTCTCTCTCCCTTTCCTTTTCTTGCATATAGGAGGATGTAATGCATTTCCCATCCTAGATGTGTAATTTGCCATAGTACAGGCTGGATTAAAGAACATCTTGGTTTGGGGTGGGTCTTGTACTTGGTAGAGGACCGCAGTTAGGGTTAGGAGAATGCCCTCCTAGAGCTTTTCTACATTATATATTCCATAATGTCACTTGCTTGGAGAGTCCTAGCCATTTTGGAACTCTGTACTTGTAAATTGTTTTCCTGTGACCCATCTTCTCCTAATTCCTCCAGAAAATGTGTTTTTGAACATTTTTTATTAACCCCAAGCCCCTGCTCCTGTTTCCTCAATTCACGGTCAAGTATAGTAGTGGCTCAGTAAGTGTTTCTGAGTAAATGGCTGAAATGGCCAAAAGACCTTGGTTCTCAAAACATCTTTTAGATAACAACTTTGACCTCTCTTATTGTAGACTTGGGGTCTGGGACAAAGGTCAAAAATCTTTTGCTGCTTCTTAGTATGCCTGTCTGCCCCCTAGTGGAAGGGTCTGGAAATGGTGAATTGGCCCAATGGTTAAATAAACTCAGAAATACTCGTCTGTTGAGTGCTCACCATGTGCCAGGCACTAGCTTAAGTATTTTTATATATGTTTTCATTAATTCTTCAATAATTCCGCATGGGAGACTCTCATCTTTTTTTTTTTTAAGGATAAAACACAGAGTGTTTGCCACTTACTTGCCAGTGTCACATTACAGTTCAGTAACTAACCTGGAACCCATACTCAAGTCAGACTCCAAAGCTTGTGTTAGAAACACACTGCATGTGCCTCTCCACCTATGGAGGTCAGAGGTTCCTGCTGCATATGCTACCCATGTTGTCTGACCTTCAAAATAGAAGGATACACAGCCTGGATTTGGGCAGATCTCACCACCAGTCCCTGGAAAAGGCAGCAGTGCTTTCTGCTGCATTGTACTCTCAGACTCAAGCTCAGGGCGTCCTACAGTTGGGGCTTTCTTTGTCAGGTTGCTTTGTCCTGTCTGTGGACGGACTCAGGCAGAACTGCTATCCTTAAATAATATCAACAGTCATTGTTCCTGTTGGCGGAGTGTTTTCTCATTCATTGGATCTCTCTCTCTTGATCTTACTAATTCTCTGAAGTAGGACAGCATGTGTCATTCCTTTTTATAAGTGAGGAATGACTGAGACTGTGTAGTTACATAATAAAGCCAGTATTTGAATCTGGGTCTCTCTTTTTACCTGACCACATATTCCCTATTCTTTATACTGCCTTATGTCTTAATGACACCATTGATACTCGATATTTAATAAAGTATTTTTTTTTAATCTTGGAAGGGGGGGAGAGGAAGGAGAAAGCATCAGTTTGTTGTTCCAATTATTTATCTGTTCATTGGTTGCTTCTTGTATGTGCCCTGCCTGGGGACAGTGCTTTAACCAGCAGAGCTGCTTGGCCAGGCCTGGTATTTGATATCTATATAAGTTGCTTACAAAGCTGTGGTATCTCCGTTAGCTGTACATTTAAGGGAAGATACTACAGAAGAAAGAATGGCTCCAAGGTACCTTTGTGTGAGAACTAAGATAAAAAAGTGTTGAGCTCTGTTTCCATTTCTGGTTGGGGCACATGCCTGGGTTGCGGGCCAGGTCTCCAACTGGGGACATGTGAGAGGGAACTGACCCACGTTTCTCTGATGCATCGATGTTTCTCTCCCTCTCTTTCTTCCTCCCTTCCTCTCTCGGTCTCTTAAAAAAAAGTGTTGAGAAAAACTTGACTTTTTTGTAAGGGTTGGGCTTGAGTCTGGTGTATGAGGTCAGTGGTTCTACATTCTCAGAATGCAGTCTCTTGTCCATTATACTCGTCTCATCCTTGGGATTCTTCCTTAACAAGAATACGATAGCCTGTGTCCACACACTCTTCCCCACCATTACCTCCCTTTGATTTTGATTCCTTCATTTGACTGCCATCATCATCGCTGTCAACATCAGTGGAGGCAGGACAAGAAGAACTAATCAGTGTAAATGTGCCATTTCATGCTCCTGAATGAGGCCGAACTCCATTCTACCTCTGCTAGGCACAACATGGCAGTTGGTACTCACTTGGAACAAAGGAACTCTTCCTCAACCAGTCACTATATTCCTCTCTCTAATTTAGTTTTCAAGGGGAAAAGTCACTAGCATGGAGGAAGGCCCAGGGGCAGAACTTTACTTCCTGTCTGAACTAAAACTCAGCAGCTTTGGACTCCCATTCTTCATCCCCAGTTGTTCAGTCAAGCAATACCTGTACTTACGGCACTTACCAATTATTTACTATATGTCTGCTTTGGGTCACACCGAGCTACAGATGTCATGTGATTTTGACCAGTTAAACAGACACCTAAGTACAGTGGCCGACTAGGGCAGCTTCTAATTGAATTCTAGTACTTGAGTTTAGGTACTATCTCTTGGTAATTATAGACTTTTTTTGTATCTTCTTGTCCAAGAGAATGTAAGAAGGGTTAGAAAATAGTTTCACTTTATGAAGCCCCTTAAGGGACAGCGGCTTATAAAAAAACAGAACTCAGACTGCTCTCAGAGCTCTTCCCCTCCTCACCAGCTAGTGCTACCTAGAGGATGGGGAAGATTTCTGGACCTCACTGGCTCCCTCTTCTTCCTACCCTCAGTTGTCACCATCACATTCATTGTTTTAAGACCTTCTTCAGCCCGGACTGAGTAGTTAAGTTGGTTGGAGCATTGTCCCAATACGCCAAGGTTGTGGGTTTGATCCCTGGCCAAGGACACATAGAAGAATCAACCAGTGAGTGTCTAAATGGGTGAAACAACAAACTGATGTTTCTCTCTCTCTCTCCCTCTCCCTCCCTTCCTCTCTCTCTAAAAATCAGTAAATAGACCTTCAAATCTGTCTTTCAGACATTTCATTTACAGGTAGAACATTTGTTCTGTACCCAGTAAATAAAGTAGAGCCTTAAATATATCTGCGTAAGTTCAAGGCATTGTTCCAGTATTAGAAAGCACAACCTTTTTCCTTTCTTTACCCTTTTTGCTAAGTTCTACTTTGTTGAGCATGGACCTGAATCTCTCTGCCTGTCCTAGACCTGAGCTTTTTTTTCCTGCCTTCAGGAGCAGCAGTTCCTAAGCAGTCGCTGCCAGCTAACCAGTAGTGTCACCAAAAGATGGCAGCTGTGCCCTCTTCCTTCTAGCACACTCACTAGCCTACTTATCTTCCAGTTGATGCCCAGTAATGTGACTCTGAAATGGGGCCTCTTTGAGCCAAGCCAGCTGAAGCCACAAGCTGAGCATTCAGTCATCTCAGTCCCTGGTCTGTATGGCTGCCTTCTGCAAGAGGATGGGGTAGGGAGGGAGTCAGTTAGCTGAGCCTAGGCTCCCAGCCAAGCCCCTTTCCTTCTGCTTTGAGCAGTTTGTGTACTTACTCACTCAGCAAGCCTTTAGAAGCACCTTCTGTGCATACTCAGGGGAGACCCTCCCTCAAAGAGAGGGATAACGGAGCAGAGACCCCTTGCAGGAGCCTGGCATCCTGAAAGAGCTCCATTCTCAGAACTCAGAACCTTTTCCTTTTTGACTGGAAGCACAACATCCGCTGGAGCCCCCCAGTGGGAGGCAACTGGAGATGGGAACAAAGAGACTGTTAACATTAATGAGACGCATTGAGTGGGTATTTCCGCAGTCTCCAAAGGAAGGCAGGTTTTTCCTCTTTCATTTTGGAAAGTGACAGCTGACAAGGGCCAATACAGACTATTTTTGGCTCTCAGGACTTAAAGATTCTCTGAATCCTTTCTTCTCACATTCCTTCCCTGCTGCCCTGTCATTATTGTCACCCCCCAGAAGGAAATAAATAAAGCTTTTTGATCTTCACCCAGTCAGGCTGAGAGTAAGCTGTAAACAAAAGTGAACTTGTGACGTGGGGATGGGGGAGGATGTTGGCAGCTTATTCCTCTCCTCCTGAAAAAGCAGCATCCTGTCTACTGTGCTAGGATGCCCGCCCAGTGAGCATGACGCCTCTGCTGCCAGCGCTGAACAGAAAGCTAGTGCTGCCTCACTGCCACTGCAGACGGAAGAGTAGTCACTCTGGGTGCCCTCTTTACCAGGATGTCCTGGGGAGAGGGACTGAGGGCCCTGACAAGCAGCTCTGCTTAGAACCATGAACCCCCAGGCCAGCATGGACTGCTAAGAATTTGGAGAGAGTTCCATGTAGGAAAATAACAACTCTTGATTACCTCTGTGAGAACTGGCTAAGATCTGGCTCTGCCAGATACTGGACTTTTGGAAGTTGCCCTGCTATTCCTGTCTTTAGTGACGTCATTTGTAAAATAAGAATCACAATAGTACCTGCTTCCTAAAACAGTAGCTAGTATTTGTGGAGATAGTCTGTTACTCAGCACAAGACCTGGCCCATTGTAATTACTGACTAAATGCCAGCACTGTTGTTATTGTGGGGCCTGAGGCTGGATTTGAAACCAAGACTAGGGATGACGATTTAGCCCCCACCTCTTCCACTTTAGGCCTGCAAAAGGGAAATCTAGAAGGGCTGGTTGGCTTGGCACTGATGAGCTCCCTCTCCTTCTTTGCTCTCCTTCCCCTTCTCTCTCTCTAGGGGACACTACACAGAAAATGAGAACTGCTCACTATCCTACCCCAGCCGAATTGGATGCATATGCTAAGAAGGTCGCAAACAACCCACTGACTATAAAAATCTTCCCCAACAGTGTGAAGGTTCCCCAGCGGAAACACGTTCGTCGTACTGTGAACGGCCTCGACACATCAGCCCAGCGCTACAGCCCCTACCCGACTCAGGCTGCCACCAAGGCAGGCCTGCTTGCCATTGTCAAAGTGCCAGCCAAAAGCATACTCAAGGACTTTGACGGCACGCGAGCCCGGTTACTCCCTGAGGCCATCATGAACCCCCCAGTGGCACCCTATGCTACTGTGGCACCCAGCACTTTAGCCCACCCCCAGGCCCAGGCTCTGGCCCGCCAGCAGGCCCTGCAGCATGCACAGACCCTGGCCCACGCCCCTCCCCAGACGCTGCAGCACCCTCAGGGTATCCCGCCACCCCAGGCGCTGTCCCACCCTCAGAGCCTCCAGCAGCCTCAGGGCCTGGGCCACCCTCAGCCCATGTCCCAAACCCAGGGCTTGGTCCACCCTCAGGGTCTGTCTCACCAAGGTCTCCAGCACCCCCCCAATCCCTTGTTGCATGGAGGCCGGAAGATGCCAGACTCAGATGCCCCCCCGAATGTGACCGTGTCTACCTCAACTATCCCCCTTTCAATGGCGGCCACCCTGCAGCACAGCCAGCCCCCGGACCTGAGCAGCATTGTGCACCAGATCAACCAGTTTTGCCAGACGAGGGCAGGCATCAGCACTACCTCAGTGTGTGAGGGCCAGATCGCCAACCCCAGCCCCATTAGTCGCAGTCTGCTCATCAATGCAAGCACCCGGGTGTCGACCCACAGCGTCCCCACACCAATGCCTTCATGTGTGGTCAATCCCATGGAGCACACCCATGCGGCCACAGCCGCATTGCCTGCTGCAGGCCCTGTCAACCTGCCCACGGGCATCTCTCGAGCCCCTGCTGGCTACCCTAGCGACCTCAAGCCGGTCACCTGGAACCAGCATCAGCTGGCCCACCTACAACAGATGTGCAGTGAGGCTGGTGGGACACCAGCCCCTGGCCTGACAGGCAAGCATGCGACAGGACGTGAGTTGGCAGGGCCTGGCTTTGTGGGCAAGGCCCCTGCCTACCCGCAGGAACTCTGCCTGGCACAGTCCTTCCATCTGAAGCCACCCCTGGAGAAGCCAACCCCATCCCCACCAGTCAACGGCCTGGCAGCCCCACTGGCCTACCCCAATGGTCACTACTTCCAACCCCTGTGGAACAACATTTTGCCCACTCCCAATAGCGACAGCTCGGGGTCTCAGGACCTCACCATGCCGTTCCATGGTGGGCAGCCCACGGGTGCACCCCTCGACTGTGTGGCAGCTGCTGGGGCCCACTACCGATCAGGGACCGGGGGCGGTCCAGTGGCAAGCCAGAACAGCTTGATGCAAACAGTGGATTACCTAAGTGGGGATTTCCAGCAGGCCTGCTTCCGAGAACAGAGCCTGGCCATGCTGAGCAAGGCTCACCGAGCCCCTGGCAACCGAGCCCCTGACCCCACAGATAGTCGAAGTCTTCATATTCAGCACCCTGGGTATAGATAGGTAGCCCTGGTGCCCTCCACAAGCTACACATCATACACCCCCTCCTAGGTTTAGTCTTACTTTTGAGTAATTGGATAGTTTCAAAGTTTTATTGCTCCAATGTGATCATTCTTAGATGTTTAAGAAAGGGAATTTGATGGGATCTAACTGAGAACAGAGGAGGATCCTCTGTGCCCTCATTCTGTCTCCTCCGCCAGGCCCAACCACTTTTGGGTTTATGTTAGGACCTAATCCCAATCCCAGGCTTTTTTCTTAGCTGCCTGCCTATCAGTCAGTCCTGTGCCATGCCCATCCCCTTCTATCCCCTTACATTTCCCACCAGCCATCTCTTGTCTTTTTCTGCTCTGCTTTTCACTTAGGACTGAGGTGGGCTAAGGAAAAGGCCCTAAGGAAGGTGCCCAGCCCCCTAAGCCAGGCATCCCTGTTTGTCTTTACCTGGGACTAAGCAGCCAGACTTCTCAAGTGCTCTGGAAAATAATTCCTTATTCACCTCAAAGACTTCCAAGTCAAAACGGACTAGTCTTCACCTCCTCTCAGCCTCCCTCCATTCCTTAAGGCTTTGTTTTACATCCATATTGATTCCAGAGCCACTAAACTTGTTCTTGCCACACTTCGCAAGGGCATCTTGCAGGCACTTAGCCACCATCTTGACACGTGGGGGTGGGGGGAGGGGGATGTGTCTCTGTGTTGGTATCTTGGTTCCTGAGTCCCCTTTCCAAACCTAGAGAAATGCAGTGACCATCCAGCATACCGAAGATCCTTTTCTCACTGTTGCCTCTCCTAATTCACCTGCTTCCCTCATCCCCCACCCCCCTCAAAAAGAAAGCAGAAACTGATCTTTCTGGAGGGATTAGGTAAGGGATGATCACATTGGAGTTTGGAATTAAAAACACCAAAAAAAAAAAAAAAAAAATTTGGTTCTCTCTACACTGGCTAAGAATATTGCTCTACACTGTAAGTTTTAAATGTCATATTTCTGTATGAATGTAGTGTGGGTTTGAGTAGCATTGTGTGTGAGTAGCCCCACAGGTACATTCACCTTCTAGACACCTTCTGCAGCCCCTCAGTTTGATGAGAAAGAAAGAAAAACACAAAGCCTTAAGCTCTTTGAATTCTTCCTTTACCAAATGAGCATGGTTCTAACAGCTGAAGGTGGGCGTTCATTGGAAACAGCCCCTCCTTGCCCCTTGCCCATCCTTCCTTCATACCCACTCCATGCTCAATGCATCTCATTCCCAAGTGATAGTTATTTGGCTAGAAATTTAAACTTTTCTGTAACTTTAGATTATGTTTTGTTGTGGTCTTTGCACCCTTCTGTTACAGATGCATAGTTGGGCTCTGCCCCTGGGTTTTGTTTTTGGGGGTTTTTTTGTTTTTGTTTTTTTTAATCCTTTTTAACCAAATAAGCCCTTACTACTACTCTTGTCTCTGGGGAATGTGAGCTGATGTTCTTATTTAAGATTTTGGGTTTGTTTATTATATACTATCCACTGTTCTTTAGCCAGAAATTCTCTAGTGATCTGAAGCAGTGTGATTGAAGACCAGTTTTTAAATTATGTGTTGGCAAGTTGCCTTATATTTAAAAAGAGAAAAAAATTGCCTGATTGTGTTATGCCAAATGATAGCAACATGAAGTCCTAATTTATTGTTCCCGATTGTTTTTCTGCCGTCTGTGAACACTGGTACCTCCCTCCCCCTGAGCCCTCAGGAGCGTCTCTTGCTCCTGGTGCAATGCCTTCTCCCAAGGTGTTGGCCACCACCTCACCCAGGGCCCCCTTCCAGTTCTCTGAGTTAAGTTGAAAGAGCACTACTGTCTCTCCTTACCCTTTGCTTGAGCTTCAAACCAGATATTTTTGCTGATTTTTTTTCTAATGCGTCTCCCTGAAAGGTGAGCTGCCATTTTAGGAAATTGGACCAGACACCAACTTGGGGGCTTTAAATCAAACCTCAAACCCATCTCTTCCTGTGTGGGGGTGCAAGTCTCTGAAGCTCTCACTCTCACCCCTGATCTGCATGGAAAATGTACTGTGACCCCACCTCCACCCCTAACTGCCCTTGCCTTTGGTGTGAGATGTCTCCTAGTTCACCCTGAGCCCCTCACCCCTCTGCCGGCCAAGCCCCAACCAGCAATAAGAGGCCAAACCAGGGCCTCCTACCCATGATCCCAGCCTCCATCCCACACTACCCCCAGGGAATACCAGGATTCCCCAGCTGTCCACATACTGTAGCATTCACTCTCCACCTTCCTCCTCATCTCACCTGTGGTGGTTAATGGGTGTGATGGGGTTTTTAAGATTATTATAAACCAGTAAAAAGAAAGAAAACCTCTCAATCTTGTCCTATTCGTTCATAGTGGTTTCTAATGCCTTATTTACTAGAAGGGAAGTTAATTCCTCACTTTTAAGAGGGGGACCCGTATTCATTCCATTCAGAAGCCCACCCAGTCCATTATTGCAGACCAGATGCTGTGGGGATTGTAAGGCACAAAGTAGACTCCGATCAGCTACACGAAGGTAACCCAGTTGGCTGCTCCTCTCCCTAGGCAGAACAGCTGGGGCCTTGAGACCTGATAGGTAAGTATGGTTTGCTACCCTTCAGTGGATACCTGAAGTGTGCTGCCACTTTCATTCCAAGGACCATAAGTCATTGGAAAGTGTTTTTGCTAACAAGCCATTTAAGACTAAATGTTCCTCTCTTGTCCTGCGTCCAACACTGGAATTTCTGAGGGCCTCTGACAGGTGGTGGTAGTAAGTGCTATAATCTAACATGAAAAGTGGCCCCTCTTGGTGATTTGAATCCTAAGGGTTGAGAACTGGAGAACTTGACTTTTTGTTTTTGTCTGCAGGGGGAAAAAAGGAGCTATTTACAGTTGACCCTTGAACAGCCTGGTGGTTAGGGGCGCCAAACCCTTCCCCGCATTGAAAATGACTTCAGAAACTTTGCTAATAACCTGCTGTTTAGAAGCCTTAACCGATAACTAACACATTTTGCATGTTATATGTAGTATATGCTGTATTCTTAGGGAAAATGTTTAAAAACAAAAATACATTTACAGTATTTACTGAAAAAATCCACACAGTTCAAACCCGTGTTGTTCTGGGGTCAACTAGGTTCTCCATTCCCTTCTGCTGAGTATGGACTTGGGCTAAGGTGTGATGGAGGAAAGGAGAGATTCCACAAGATGCGGGATTCAGTGAGGGTGGAATCAGACCCTTAGTATCAAGACAGCAGGTTGCTGTCAGAATACTGTTGGAAGCACTCTCTTGTGGGCACATTTGTATCTATGGGTTGCTCTTTTGGGAAGGGGGCTTTCCCTCCTTCCATCGTCATGCTATCCCTATGAAAGTCCTCATATCTCTGTCAGAAACCTGCAATCAGCCTAAGGTCACAGAGGTAGTGAGTGCTGCTCAGTGATGCAAAACCTGGCCTGAGCTTGACAAGGCAACCATGGCTGCCTGCAACAGCTGGAAGGAGGGCCAGCCCTGGATATGCAGTTGACTGCAATATCTTCTTGCTGCACACACTGTAGGAGGCATGTTCTGGAACGCTGCCGTGACAGTCTTACCAGCAGAGAACCCAAGCTTGACCCAGAGTTTCTGACTTCTGTTAGAAAGGTGGTTCCACCTGTTGCCTGAAGCAGGCACTTAAGGGAAGGCATTTCTCCTGCTAGAGCCCATGGTTATCCCTACCAGCTTCCAGGCATCACTGTACCAGGATCGTTTATCTGGTGAAGGAGCTGTCTTTATCAGAAAGGCAGTCAGGGCCTCAGGTCACCCCCTAGACCAGTGAATTTGGCTTTTTGAAGGCTAAGCTGGTTTCCTGGGCTGGCTGCGTCAGGCTGTCCTTTTCCGTTGCCTTTTGAGAAGGGCTCTTTTTACTTGAGCTCAGTGTGGTGAAGTCAAGAACTACAAGCCTTGAACCTTACCTTCACAGGATAACAATTTCCATCAAAGGGCTTCTCAGGGCCAGCCAAGATTAAGATACTTTATACTGATTGGTTCATCTTTACAGCAAATCTTGGTGAGCGGGATTACTCTCGTTTTACCGATGAGAACAAAGATGCCTCCCATAGAGATAAGAAACCCATCAAAAAGGAAGCAAAGACCAAACCCAAATCCAACTACTGGCAAAATTAAAAGGAGCTGTACCTCTAAGGGATTGCTGGAGCTTAAGACAGAGCCCAGGTCCTGCCCCAGACCAGCTTAAGGACCACTGAAGACAATTCACCCCTCTGTGCCTATTTCATCAATCAGGTGTGGATAATCATAGGCACCCATTGAGACAGGAAAACCAAATGAGTATGGAGAAAATCCAAGCACCTTGTACATCTGGAAGGCCCCTTTGCTCAGCTCAGTCTCTGGGTGTGGGCTGGACTTTGGAGTTAGGTTAACTTTCATCAAGCACTTTGTACCAGGAACATGCTTTGTCTCATTAAATCTTCACTACAGTCCACTAAGGTTCTATTACGGTGATGAAAGATATGTAACTTTTTGCATTAAATGAAATAGTGCGTGTAAAGTGCTTAGCAGTGCCTGCCACATAGCAGTCCTAAATAAGCGCTAACACTTGGTCTATTATCGCTAGACCAAGACTTGCCTAGGGCATAGGCACTGGTCTTTGGTGAGCTATGTATCCAGCTTTACAATGTTCAGAGCCTGCACCTCCCCCATCTAACCACCGGAGGACCGGCGCAGGCGTCTCTCCCGCACAAAGCCTAGTGCACTTCTCCTGCCGTCCACCAGAGGGCGACCCAGTGGCAGCAGCCTGTCTCGGACTGATCCTTTGCTTTCGCCACTGGGCACAGCCTTCCAGGACCCTAACCAACCCAGATGATTCAGACTGGAACCAAATTAATAAATACAATTCAGAATTTATTAAAAATCAGGGCTCCCCTGCTGTGTCCTCCTGGCACTAAGTAAATAAATAACCAGAGGGTACAGCTGGGGAAAAGGGGAAGAGAAATCATCTCGACAAATTAAACTACCCAACTCCCCCTTCCCCTCTATGGCTCTTGGGACATAGCACCAGCAGGCACCTCAGTCCAGGTAGAGTGTGGCTGGCACCAAGGCATGTCTGCCCTGCCCAGGAGAGGAGACAGGCCCTAGGATCACTTGTTTCCAAGCCCTTGAAAACCCGAAGACCTGCTCACCACAGGGGCCAGGGCTGAAGCACCAATAGGAGGCACCTGAGAGTGGTAAGGAAGGGGAGAGGGGGAATAGGGTAACAGAACCTCGTGTGCAGAAGCAACTGAAAGAGGGTCCTGCCCCCTTCTCCAGGCTCAGCCAGTGCCTAACAGAGGTCATTTTCCACTCTCTTTCTCCTGGAACCCTGTCTGTGCTCAGCTGAGGATCTTTCGGGGTAATTCAACCGAGGCACGGATGAAGACTGCATCATCCCGCACATAGTTTCGCTTGCGGATATCCTGGTGGGAGATGAACTTGGGGTAACCAAAGCCCAGAGAACTTTCATCCAGGGAGCCCCGCCAAGTGCCTGGTTTTTGGAAATTCTTCCAGTTTGGGTCAGGGTGAAAGGTCTCAGTGACATGCTGTGGTTTAGCCAGCCCAGGGTCACTCTGATCCAGCAAGGAGAAGGTGACGCGGCGGGCAAAGGGCCACTCAAGGAGATTGTCAAAGGCACCTGGCAGCACACGAATGTAGAGCGAGAGATGCGTGCCCTCACCACTGCCATTGCCATTGAGGAATGCGGACACCTGCAGCTTGTAGCCATACTTATGTGTGTAGAAGGCCGGGCTGAAACACTCGAGGTTGGGCTTGGCTTTGGCTTCCTGCAGCCGTCGCCCATAGCTGCCAATCTTCCAGATGAGGACACCATCACTGCCCACGGACAGCTCCTCCAGCTCTCGGCGCAGCTCCTGCAGCTCCTGCCGCTGCCGGCTCACCAGGGCACACATCATGGCCAGATGGGGCTTCACGCTCTCCTCCACATGCCTGGCCATTGCCAGCTTAGGGCACTGTAGGTAAAGCCCCAGGCCACGGGGGAAAGGAGAAGAGTTATCAGTAGGGGCAGGCCCAAAGTAGAGGGGAGGACTGGGTATAGGGTGGCAGGTATCCAGCTCTCAGTGAGGAGGAGGCTGAAGCTGGCCAGCAGGGGGAAGGACTGAAAGGTTCAGAGCAGCAGAGCAGGGACCAAGGGCTTGGGCCCCTAAGTCTATGTCTGAAGCTTCAAGGACCAAGAAGAGGGCTGACAGGAAGGAGGAGGGGCATCTCACCCTGTGCTTGCAGCCGGAGTCTTTGAATGGACACAGCACCAGGGCGGTGCTACAGCTGTCCTTCAGGTGGCCGGGCAGATCCTCCCGAGCCACAGTTCCCACGCCACACTGGTTGGGGCAGGGCACAGGCAACCTTGGGCACTGGTACTGGTGGCTCTAGGTCCACAGAGACAGTGGTCAGTAGTAGCCTGATTCCCTGCTACCTACCCCACGGCCCAGTTCAGTAAAGGCCTCACCTGGATGGTGTCAAAGACGAACTCCTTGGTGCAGTAAGTGCAAGGCTGGGTGCGCTTGGGACACTCGGAGGTGGCATGCTGGGCTAGGAGCCGTCGCATCATGCGGGCACCGCACTTGTTCTCACAGTACACACTCTCCTGGGGACACACGCCCTCGTGACTCTGTGGAAAAGCCAGAGGGGCCGAGTTAAGGAATCCCTGAGCCACCAGGTGCCCCACTCTTCCTCTACCCTCAGCCAGACCACACCCACCTCAAAGGCCTCCCCACTGAAGTCACAGCCACAAAACTCGCACTTGAGGCGCCGCTTGGGGCAGTCGTGCTGCAAGTGTGCAGGCAGGTCTCGGCGGCTCAGCTTGGTGGGGCAGCGGTTAGGACAGGGGACGACATTGAAGCTGCAGGTATTCAGGTGACCCTGGGGGAAAAGGCTGTGGTTAGTGCCTGCCAAGGGAAGAGTAGTCCCCACCCTCATCAGAGCCTCACCTGTAGGTGGCGAAGTGGCCCACTCCAGCGGCAGCCTTCCTCACTGTGGATGCAGCGGATAGGCAGGCTCAATACCTGTACCTCCAGCTCTGGGTCTGGGTAGATCTGGGGACAGGGATAGGGGAAACTTGTCAGGGTCAGAACCTGCTGCATTCTCCACTTCCTGCCTCCTCCACTACCAGAGAGACTAGCTCTATCTTACAGCCAGTAACAGCTGCTCCTGGGCTATAATGTCCTCGGTGCTCAGGGATAAGGGGCACAGCAGGCAACATCTGCTCCACTGGTGGATCCTGGGGTCCCCAACACATCTGCACATGATACTCCCTTTGTAGAGGCAGCCTGCTTAGTCTCAGGCAGCCCCCAAATTCTGTTTCCTTCCTTCTGGTAAAGGGGTCCTGGCCCTCAGCCACAGGTCTGGCCTGCCACCTGGAGGGGAGGGAAGCACTTCCTGTGGGCACAGAGCACCTCTGCGCACCCCCACAGGCTGGGCATAGTGCCTGTCCTCCAGGGCAAATACGGGCCTCATTTGCAAACTGGCCTGGTGGGAGGGAACAGACTACCTTTGTGGGGGCGCGTGATTCGGAAACACTAGGTTGACATTGGCCCTGAGCCTACAGACTGCCAGTAGCTCCACCCTCCACCAAGGGCAAGAGCCTGTACCTGGGCCTCTGCCGGGCACTGTAGACTCACCTTGGCATAGTCCAGAGGAAGCTGGTCCTCAGGGCATTTGAAGACTCCTTCACTGTGAAAAGGGGAGGGGACAGGGTCAAGGCCCCACCCCCTCAACCAGGGCAGCCTCCTTCCCTCACCAGACCGGTTCCAAGCCAGCCCCACCTGAGAGGACAAGCAGAGTCCTGAGGGTACCGGCTTCCCCAGGACCCCAGATGATCCCAGCTCTTGTCCTGGGGAGGGGAGTTCTGGGCCCAGTGGAGGCAGAGACAGCTGCCTCAGACAGCATTTGGCCAACAGGTGGCAGCTGGCACCCCTCCCCCCAGGATGGCAGCTGGACTGGGAAAGTACAGGCTGCCCAGCCGTCCCCTCCCCCCAGGCTAGTTTTCATTGGCTGGATGAAAAGCTGCTGGGGGGCAGGGTGAACAGGGATGGGTTGAGATTAAGTGCCAGGGCTTCCCAACCCCTATGAGAGTGCCCAGCCAAGAACCCTGGGCAAAGGTCAGTTTAGGGCCACCTTACCCCATCCCTTCCCTCCTTCTTATGAGGGTGTGTCTCCTAAAGCAAAGAGGAAAGGCTCGTTCCAAGGCACTGTGTTTACTACACACCCATCCAGTCCTTACCACCTGTCTCTGAGAAGGGGTTGAATATCCCTATTTTGCAGATGAAAGAACTGAGGCTACAGCGGAAGCAGCACCTGGATATGTCTGTCTGCTTCCACAGCTCAGATAGGTTCTGCTACAAGGTAGAGCACAAAGAAGAGAGGCTCAGGCAAGACAAACTGTCCAGGCAAGCACAGCCAAAATTGCTCCGAGCACGGCATGCATCTGAGGCGTGGAGACCCTGCCTGCCGCCCTCCCTCTCCTCCATCCATCCCCACCAGGCTGTTAGCGCTCAAGGAACCTGCTGGCATGCCTCCTTCTGCCAACACGGCCCTGCTGACCCTAGCCAGGACGAGTCGCACATGCCTGCCATGGCCTGGGCAGAGCAAGGGCTCACCGGCAGGACTGAGGGCCCTCGGGCATGGTGTTTCTGAGTCAGTTATGTGGGAGGGAGGCAAGAATCAGGCAGAAGCAGAGGCTATGTGGTGGCCCTGTATATAATGGTACTTTGCAGAAACCTGGGCAGTTCATGCCCCAAATGCCCAAAGGATTTCTAGCACCTACCTCCTCTCCCTGACCCCACTACTACCATTGGCCATGCCAACAATGCAAAGAACAGTACATGCCCAGGCACTGATGAGGTGTGCCCACGCCCACAGGACAACCAGGCTTCATGGGCCAACCTGGCAGGAGTGGGTTAAAAGGGGTTGGCTGTGGGGGAAGGGGGGTCTGTTTGGTTGCTTCAGGAATGTGCTGACTACTGGTTTTGGAGACAAGGAGGGGACTGAGGCAAGTCCCCAGGCTTTGGGCAGATTAGCCTGGGCGGCTGGGGGCCCAGCCAGGACGAAGTTTCCTGCCAGCGCTAAGGACATCCTTGCTTGTACAGTATCGTGTGGTGGTGTGGTGGTCAGGGGCAGAGCCTGTCCAGCCACCTCTTCCCTCCTCCCTTCAGGGGCCTCAGCAGCAAAATTCAGGCACTAGGGGAAAGGGGGAGGCAGGGGCAGAGACTGCTCCAGGCTGTGCAGTGGAGGCCCAGGCCCAGGCCCAGGGGAGAAGACAGGATGGGGGGAGGGGGCACTGGGAGAGGAAAGGGGGATTTCCGGAAGGAGGAGGGGCAGAAGCTGCTGAGAGGGGTAGGGGAGGTGGAGGGAAAGGGGCCTGGCAGCCCCCTCCTGGATCCTTCCCTGAGGCGGTGGGGGTGGGTCAGCTAAGTTGGGGGTGCTCAACTGGCCTCATCTGGAAACCAGAGGGCCGGGGAAGGGCACTGGAGAAGACAATGGGACTGTGTGTCGGTCGGGGAGTGTGTGTGTACACAGGAGGGAGGAGGGAGGAGGGTGAGGGAAAAGGAGGAGGGGGCAGCACAGCAGCTCGTGCTGGAGCATATGTGAGGGCAGGAGCCGGCCCAGGCTTCAGGGAACAGAAAACAAAGGGCCTGCTGAGATTTCCGCCAGCCTAGGAACTGCAGAGGACAGCCGGAGGGAAGGAGGGAAGGAGGGAAGGAGGGAGGGAGGGAGGGAGGGAGGGAGGGAGGGAGGGAGGGTGCGAGGGTGCGCCAAAGGCCGGAGCCCCAGAGATGCTCTCCCTGCCCACTCTCTTCAGCAAACAGCCTCCTGACACATGGCAGTGGCTGACCCGGCCTTCCCTGGTGATCTTGGGACATAACCTTCCCACACCAGGCCTGAACAGCTAGCAGCATGGGCAGGAGATTCAAGACCACAGGGTGCCCAGAACCCAGAACCCAATGGATGCCAAGAGCCAAACGGGGAACCTGAGTCGCACCCAGGATGATTCCCTCCCTAAGATCAACAGACCTTCCAAGGCACTCGAGACCCCCAGGGAGTCAGGAGGGACACCCAAAAGCTTCCTCTTCAGGAGAGATATGTATCACAGTCCTCCCTCTATTGTGTGACCACACACGGCCAGGGCTTAAATCCAAGATAAACCCTTAAGAAACTGTGTGACCCTGGGCAAGTCGCCGTCTTTCTTTGAATCTCTCTGTGAAACGGGAGAACAATAGCTGCTGTTCTTGTTTGTTTGGAAGAATCAAAAGAGATTAGTTAGGTGGGTGAAAACTCAGGAGGTTGAAGGCGCAGCACAGGAGGAAGGGTTTTGTCCTCCTCTTCCCAGAAGGATTCAAAGTTCAAGGATGAGGCCGCTGTGGCTCCCAGGGGAGGGGGAAGGGACGGCTACCGATCAGGAAGGGCGTCTTTTCCCACCTCCCATCCGAGGACAGGCACTTAATTCTTCAGACCGGGCGCGGGAGCCGATGGCACCCGGAACCCCACAAATTAGTAGTGCTTGGGATTCTCCTTAGGGGCCTGACGTCATCACCGCCCCGTGATGTCACAGTGGGAGCTCCTGAGGTCACCGGGATCAGGTGCAGACAAAGGCTCGGTGTGCCTTTGGCCTGGGCCCCTTCCCCATGCGGTGTCCCCCGCATCCGCACCCGCCATTCCCACTACCCCCAGCCCGCACCTTAGGAACTCCTGCAGGCAGGTGTCGCAGAAGCGGTGGCCGCAGGTAGAAACCTGCACGGGCTCGCGCATGGGCTTCCCGCACAGTGGGCACAGCAGTCGCCGCTTGGGCTTCTCCAGGAACTTGTAGTCGAAGCCGGGCATGGCGGGCGGGCGGGCACGGGCGAGCGGGGCCGTGCACGCGGCGGCCCCACAGCCCGCGCCTCGCTCGGGCCGCACTCCCGGCTCCGGGCGGCGCCGACTGTTGGCCGTGGCCAGCGCTCAGCCCGCCCGCCCGTCCGCCGGCCGGAAGAGGGGGTGGAGCCGATCCCGCTGGGTCCTAGCGCCGGTGCCAGCTGTACCGCCCTCCAACCCGGGAGCTCGGGGTTCGAGGTCGACACTTGGGTGTGCCTGCTCCCTTCCTGAAGCAAGGGCTTCTCTTTCCCCTTGGGAAGGGAGATTGTGGCTCCGCTTCTCCCCAGAGCTGTGAAGGAGTGGGGCGGAGGACCCCGGGGGACGGGCCAGCCGTACTACAACCGTTCACTTCTCTCCAGTGTATAGCTCGCTCTTGCTCTCGCTCTCGCTCTCGCTCTCGCTCTCGGGGCCACGTGTCTCCCAGAAGCCCGGGACTCCAGCTTCCAGGTGCTAGGCAGCTGAAGCCTGGCAACCAGATCTTGGGAGCTCAGCTGGGGAGGGGAGGCAGGGCTGGGCGCTGGGCCAGAGGAAACTCGGCCCCAGCCTTAGGCTGCGCCCACATTCTTTCCTTGACCATGGCCCTGCAGTTGAGATAGGGGGCCCAGCCCAACTCTAGGGTGTTGGCCAGCCACTCCCCGCTCCCGAAGAGACCACACTCTAGGCAGGCAACTGATGTTTTTATTGACGCTACTTCCCAGGCATCTGGAAACTGGACTGCTCCAGCCAATTACCCTTTCCCCCAACCTGTTTTGGAAGAATGGCAAGGGGTGAGGGGCAACCTTCAGCAAGGATGCCAGGTGACATGCAGGTGACAAAAGCTCCCTAGGACCTCCCTGCCCCAGGCAATGCACAGGCTAGGTGCTGGAATGGCCAGTCCAGGCAGGCCCTGCTTGTCCCGCTCCAAAGCACTGAGCTGCAGTCCCAGTGGGCACCAGGGATGCATTTTCTAACGGCTGGGGGAAAGGGCAGGGTCTGGGTAGAACCACACCCATCTCCAGCCTTTTTCTGCCAAGGCTCTGAAGACCACCCTGTTTCCAAAGGTTAGGTCCGCTTCCAGCTCTGGGCAAGCTGGACCCTGGGGGCATTGACTTAAGAGAAGAGGTGGGGAGGGAAACCGGAGATGTTAGGAGGATAGGGTGGGTTAAGTTTTACATATCCAGGGCTAAAAGCAGCTCAGAAGCTTCATGAGTTCTTATACCCCATGGGACACAATCCAGGGTGGGGACAGTCATGCCTCAGGGACCTGTACTTTTCAAGAACAGTCAGAGAAGCAATAGCAGGGTGATGCAGAGTTGTACCCAGCTGCCTCACGGGGGGACCGGCTCATCTGTGACGGCTAGAGAGGACAAAAGAGAAACCTCTGCAGCCTCCCAGAGGGCAGTGTCTCTAACAAGCACTGCCCACCTCTGCTCCCACTTCCACACTAGTCCTAGACTCTGCCAGACCAGAAATAGATGTTCAAACTCAACGGGACTGGGGGCAGGAGGAGAAAAATACACTTGGGCCCTGGGAACAGTGAAGACAGCCCTTCCATGAGGCCCCAAAGTACCCACCCTTGCCCACCTCAGGCAGGAAACTCAGTTTTACCCCACAGCTTCTGCTTTCATTCATTTGGGGACTAAAGATGCTTTTAGCGACTTGGACTGTGACCATCAAGGATAGGGGTGTGGGCAGGAGCCAGCTGGGTTAACCCTGTGTGGGTGAGGTGGGAAAAGTTTCAACTCACGGCGAACAGCCAGAAGAGTATTTCCATGGCAACAGGACACAGAAGTCACTGTGTAGGGGTGTGTCTCATCCAGCTGCACTGGACGAGGGAGTCCAGCATCCTCATCCCTCCTTCCCAGTCGACCTCGAGCCCCTTTGCCCCAAGAGTATACTTCACCTTCTGCCAAAGAAAATCCCAAAGAGGGAAACAGAAAGACACAGCTTAGTGAGCAATGTCCCTCCAGGTTGCTGTACTGGTCTCACTATGAGGCTGCTGAGTTCAGCAGACCTGGGCATGACACCCCCTCCCATTGTCCACGGGCCTGCCCATACGCTTATCTGCCCCCATTGGGCCCACTAATCACCTGCCCCAATGGCTACAGTGAAGGCATCCCCGCAGGCCACCATCGCTATCTTGATGCCCTGGAGGCCTTGGACTTGACAAGGTGCTCGGCTGACCCTGCGAATATTGGTGCCCAACTGCCCATGCTGATTGCTGCCGAAAGTGTAACAGTCACCAGAGGCTGTAAGGAAGAAGAGAGGAAAAGAAGAAAAGGGGCGCCTCAACTGAGGTCCCAAAGAGACCAACAGAGTCCCCCTCCTGCCTCCCTGTCCTGGTCCTACTAACCAGTCACAGCAGCTGAATGAGCAGTGCCCAGGTCCACACTCAGCAGGGGTTCCTGGTCCAGGGGTGCAGAACCTAGTGGTGTGAAGCTCAGAGCCTCCTCCACTTGTTGGTGGGAGCTAGGCTCCTCCCCCAGGGAGAGGTGGTCCAGGCCCAGCTTGTTGAATCTGAGGGCAGAGCCAGAAGCCAAGCCCAAATGACACTGTTCTTATAAACTGTCCTACATCTACCTACCTATGCCGGCGTTGATGCACCAAGGGACAGATACCACTCTGAGTTGAATCAACAGCACCCCCCACCCTTCTCAGTTCTAATCCCTGGTGGAGGGTAGGCAATGATAGATGGAGCATTAGCAGCCAAGGATGGCAAGGGGACAGTCTAGTCATCCTGGAGCACCTAATCACCTGTTGCTCCCACAGGCCAGGACCCGGCCAGGCACAGTGAGGATCATGGAGGAGTCAATGCCACATACAACCCGCTGGGCTTCCTGTCCTGGCGGCACAGGCACCTGCTGAGGACAGCTGTGGGACTCCCTGGTGCCAAGTCCCAGACGGCCTATAAGGAGAAACCGAGATGGGGCTCATCCGAGCTTTAGGGTTGGTGAGGCCAGGATGAGGACTCACAGGGAGGCAGTAACAGTGTGAGTGAGCTGTCCCTCAGCCTGAAATGCCCATCCTTGGCCCCTCTTTGGTCAAAATCCCACTCTTCCTTTAAGGCCCTATACAGGTGCCACCACTACCCCTTCAGGTAGAGTCCCTTGCCATTCCTTGAGTTCCTGCACCTCTGGACCCTGGGTGGAGTCCTGATGCTCTCTGTCCTCTGTCATGATGATGTGTCATTCTTCCCCCCATCAGAGCCCTCCCAGAGGACAGGAACTGTATCTAAGTCATCTCTAGTTTCACTGCCCAGCCTGATGCCTGACCCAGAGAGGGCCACAGTGAAAGCTGGTGGATGAATGAAATCTCTTTCAGAAGTACCTGAAGGAAGTGATACGTTGTTCATCTTGTCTCAGCACCCAGCACAGGTGGGCACATAGTGGGTGTGCAATAAAGGTTTGCTGAGTGAATGAATGGAATTGGAGAGAAGAGGAGGAGGAGAAAATAGGCCATGGGGTGGAAGGTGGGTGCAAAGGGGAACGAATTATAGCTGGGCGTGCTGTGAGATGGAGCTAGGGGCTGGAACAGGGTGGAGAGCTTACCACCATCTCCGCGGCCCCAGGCAAATAACTCTCGCTCAGTGGACAGAGCCAGCACATGGGAGGCCCCACAGGCCACCTGCACCATCTCATAGCCCAGCAGGGCCTCCACAATGGTGGGCTAGAGTAAGAAAGGAAACTGTGGGCAAGGGGCCTGGACTCAACATCCCCTGTATAGACAAAGTCGGAAGCTGCAAATTTTCACAAGGCGGTTCTTTCTTTACCTCCCCCCACTACCACTGCAACCACTAGGGGAAGCCTGATCTTTCTGTACTTCCCCTAATGCTGCCCAGAAAAGGTGCAGCCTGGGAGCTCAAGGGACCTGTAGTTGCTGAAGATCCCCCAGCCCCCAACCTGGGCGTCAGCTCTCAGACATGCTCCTTGCCATCTCCCCCACTTCCTCCTTCCCGAAGTACATGCAGCACCTACCTGGCTGATGTCATTGAGGCTTCCATGGCCTAGGCATCCATTGCTGCCACTGCCAAAAGTCATGATGATACCTCGGTCTTGGGAGCGGGGCAGTGAGCAAAGGGAAAGAAGAGAGATTAGGTTGTTTTTCCAAATAGACCAGTCCAACCTTGGGTTGGAGAAGCATGAAAAAGTTAGCTGGAGGCTAAGGCTAGAAGGATGCAATGGGGGAGAAATAAGGACAGGGATCTCTTTTCCCAAGTATGTGACTTTGGACAAGTGACGTTGCCTCCTGAGCCTTAGTTTCCAGATCTGGCAAATGGGATGCTGCAACTACGGCGCCAGGCCTATTGTGAAGGGTAAAAGAGATTGTTTAAGTAGACCTCTGGTGCTTACTAGTAGGTAGAAGCATTATTAATAGAGCAGTTTGTAAATGACAGGCAAAGAGGTAGACAACAGGGTCCCCACAGGGTAATCTTCCGAGGGCTAACCAGTCAGGCAGGCTGTGAAGAGGTCCCCGCAGGCCACGTGCTTGATGGTCACACCTGACTGGCCCTCCAGGAAACGTGAGATGAACTGGGGCTGTTGCTGCTCCACTGCCCCAGGGAGGAGGGCGCCCCCTCCCGCACCTAGGGGCGGGGCCTGCAGAAGAGACAGAACGGCAGGGAGCCTGAGCACCACCCCCTGTCCTTATGGCACACCCTCCCCGAACTCTAGGCCCACCCCAGCCTGCTTACCTCCCACAGGATGAGGCGCCCAGAGCGTGTGACGCCAGCCTTCTGAGTGCGCCCAGCAGCCACCTGAACCACCTCTGTGTTGAGCATTGGCAGCCGCAGAGGAGCGCTGAGCCCCCCACCCCACGCATACACGGATGACAGCGGTGGCGGAATTGCTGGTCGCGCAGGTCCCCGGGGGATGCCTGTGGGGACAGCTCATCAGGCTTATTAAACTGGTGGGAATGGCATGGTGTCCAAGGGGACCGGAAGGTCAGCTGGACTTACCCCTGCAGCGGGCACTGGTCGACCTGCTCCCTGTGCTGCCTGGGGCCAAGGGTGGCCCAGTGGCCAGG